TTGAGATAGCTTCTTACTATGTAAAGCTGGCTAATCTGGATCTCACATGTAGACATGGCTGGCCTGGAAATCAAGGAAACCTTCCTGCTTTTGCCTCTGTGGACACAAAGACATGCCCCACCATAAACATAATTTCCGAAGTCAAACACACTAGAATTTAAAATATAATCATCTCAGATTGAGCCAGGGCAAACCTACTGAAATCACTCTTTAGAGAGAAGTTAACTGTGCAACGAATCATCTCTCAGAGGATTCTTGCATACCATACCTAAAGACCACACTAACAATAGCCTTCAAACTCCAACAGAAGGAACACCTGAATACTAGCAGATGTAAAGACAGGCTTCTGAAAAAAATCTTTAACCTGCCTCTCTAGCATTATGAAGATGCTATTAGAAAGATAATACACTCCTAGCCTCCGATAAAGAGCTGTTCTGTGGTCACACGTGTCTTGAACAAGAACTTTTAGTGCACTGAGCAGTAACAGATCTTCGCTTCATTTTTAATATTCTCGATCAAAATCATTATGAATACAATCTTCATTGGTGTTTTACATTTACAGTCATATGAAAAACTAAACAAGGACTGTGCTAGAGTTCTGGTTAGATGATGGCCAGATGTAATCCCACAGGTGTGTGATCCTAGCACTTAGGAGGCCGAGACTGGAAGATCAAAAGTTGAAGGCTAGCCTGGGCTACAACAAAATAAGACCCTGAGATCTCACAAGAGGGTAGGAGCAGAAGGAGAAGAAGAAAGGAGAGGTTGCTTCTCAAAATTATCAATAAAAATAACCAAGAGACCCATAAAAAATGGTAAGGATCATTCTGGGTTTAAGAACAGCAAATTATCTGGCTGCAGCAATGACTCAGTCAATAAGCACTTGCCACACAAAGGTGAAGCCTGGAGCTCTTATCTCCTGAACGCAAGTAAAAAACGAATAGGTGTGGCCAGCTAGAGAAGGAAAGACAATGGATCCCCGAGGCCAGCTAGCTAATTGGCCTGGTGGGATTCAGTTATTCAATGAGAGACCCTGCCTCAAAAATATAGTGTAGAGAAAGAACAGGGAAGATACCTGACATTGCTTCAGGCCTTCTCAGGTATGCCTAGCTCACACAGAAAACACACACACACACACACACACACACACACACACAGAATGCAAAACAAGCATTAGGGACAAAATTCTGCAAAATAGTGACAAATACAAGTTCCAATATCAAAATCTCAAACTGTGAAGTTTTTTTTTTTAAAACAATGAATTATTTTACTCAAGTGAATATTAAAAAGCTACAATATTTACTCACTCTCCTGTCTGTATGTCATAAAAGGGTATGTCACCCACTAAATGATATGTGTACAATCAAATCAGACTCCAACTTATAATTTACCTTTGCATTGAGCTGTCTCCACTCAGTCTGACCTGAGAGAAGTCTGGGGCAGTATTTTTTTCCTATATTTCTTTGGTGAAATTAGATTTTTTTTTAATTTTTTAAATTTATTATTTATTACAATTTATTCATTTTGTATCCTGGCTGTGGCCCCATCCCTTGTCTCCTCCCAGTCCATCCCCCTCTACCTCTTCTCCTCCTCTGCTCCTACCCCAATCCACTGATAAGGATGGTCCTCCTCCCCTTCCATCTGACCCTCCTAGCCTATCAGGTCTTATCAGGACTGCCTGCATTGTCTTCCTCTGTGGCCTGGCAAGGCTGCTCCCCACAGGGGAAGACATGAACTCAGAGGCTGGCTCTCTGTGGCAGTATTTTAAAGAGGACTGTGAAATGACGTAAGGTTAGCCACAACAAGTATGCAAGAGAGCAAAGAGTTTGGGGTCACAAAAGGTGTTTCTTTGTATTTTACACTCTCATAAACATCAAATTTCTCCAGAAAATGAGGAGGCTCCTTCAAGGTGTCATGCAAGGGAACTTAAAATTTTGCAAGCATTTCATATTCATACCACAACACGAGATTAAGCATAGTCATTACATTACACAAAAGGTGAGAGGAGAGAGCATAAAGCTGAAAGCTCGTATGCTTTCTCATCAGATACCATGAATTCTGTTCTTGCACTGCTCATTTCAACACATCATAGACATAGTCTTAAGTTTAGCACCAAAACACTTGCAAGACATTAAGCTTTTACCATAAAGAATTGATTTTTTTTTTTTTTTTTGCTTTAAGAAAGCTTCATTTACCACTGAATTTCCAACTAGCTATATAAGGCATAAAAACTAATTACATATATACATATACATTAGTTGATACAGTAAACTGATCATTGTATTTAAAAGAAATGGTAGCTTTGAGAAGTACCTCGTTAATAATCTTCCCACTCTAGCAATAATAAAGCCTGATTCCTTAGGCTACAAGGCAAGGTTCTAATTAGGTTAAGTAAGTTATGCATAAAAGTCATCTCTCTACTCATGTGAGGCTCACTCTACTTCCAGTGGCCTCTGTTCCAGAACTGCATTTCACAGAAGTTCCTTGGAGTCATCACAATGCACAGATGTAATTTAAGCAGGGTTATAAACGTGAATCCTTGCAATCTGAAATGGAGTAGTGGAAACAAACATATTATCATCATTCTACAGTTTCCACTTGACTCCCCCTGTTCGCTTTCCTCTTCACACACCAGTGAGTTACAGTACTTACACAGAGAGTGTACTTGCAAAGCCACAGTTTACAGTGAGCCTTGGCAATGAATCACTTTCACATGCTGTGCACATGACAAATAAGTTTGGTGCTGCATAAAATATGCACCTTATGGCTTCTATGAAACACAGAAATGAAGTTTGCTATCCTTAAGATTTCACATATATAACCCTATGTGGTTGCATATGAAGGTTTGGGAGAAATCAACAGAAAATACTTTTTAAAGTGCAGTGAACCATAATTCAGACTTTAGGCCTCTGATGTTCTATAAATGCATGTCTAAATATCATATTGGACCTGCTATCAATGATATGGGGAAATAACCACATTTAACTCACCTATGCAGACAGAAAATAGAAGACATGAATTGTAATGGGGAAAGGAACTTAGAGCAAATTCCAGCCATCAAGGATGACTCATTTATCATCACTGGCACAACTATCTGCCAGACTCACAAAGTCCAAACACTTCAGGGTAAGCAGCAGCCCTTCGGAATGATGCCCATGCACACTGACTTAAGTTTTAGTCTCCATTTTTACAGAGGATGGTCTCTTTTTGTATACCCTCTTCTAAGGAACAGCAGTTTGGACTAGTATTCAAGAGGAATGCTTGGTTTGTCTGTGTTCAATAATGTGACAGTATTTGGGTGCTTCTTTTCTTCCTAAGCTCCATGTTCTTGGTTTCAGTGCTTCTTCTTCCAGAGCACCCCAAATGAGCCAGCCACTGCCCTGACTCATCCCTGAACTCATTTCAGTGGAAACTGATTAATTTGAAGGAACAAAGCTTTCTCCACCGGTACTCTTAAAATAGCAGGTGCATCATCACAGAAATCCGGAGGAAGAGAAGCAAGCAGTGCAGCCTACCTCACTCTTAGACCGTTTCCTAGAGCAACTGAGGTTGCCACTGAAGTCAGTACGCTGTTCAAAAGTTGAGTAAAAGTTTGCCTGAAAGAGACTATCAGCTAGGCAACTCCAGGCACAACACAAAGTACATCAGGGGTATGTGAGATAGTTTTGCAAGTATTATCAGAGGATTTCACAGCAGACATGACGGTGTGGACCAAGGTTTTTAAGACATACAACGGTGAACATATTAGCATATTCTCTTATGCGTCTAGAGAATATGGCCGACTAGCAAAAAGAGGACACCCTTGCCTCCCTCACTGTTGCTAACCACTTTGCTCAAGTTCACTCGGTGTCTCGCCCTAACCCTGGGGATCCATTCACTCCCCTAAGCCCAGAGAGGCTGCTGAAAGGCTGTCAAAGTAAATCTGTGTTCACTTTTTGGATGGTTTAATTCCAATGGAGCATGAAACACCCAGGACGGTTAATAAGTTTAGCCAGGCATGCTGTTCTCCCTAATATATTTTAATTATGCATCTGTTTTAATTGTAATCAGATTAAGTCACCAGAAAGGCACAAATTGGAATTTTTCCCTAATGGCTATTGGAGCTTTTCATCAGTTTCTAAACACTAACAACATTTTAAAAATAGGTAGAGTCACTAGAACAAGGGTGATATTTTCCAGAATTCAATGCAGTTTCTTTGACAACACAATCCGGATGTCATTAGCCACCCAAACTAACCCAAATGCAGAAGACAACTTCAGTCTTCAGGGTCGTCCTCTTCCCAATTAGCACCAGCGAATCACAAATGTCTAATGCAAAACTGCCAAACAGAACTGAAAGCCCATGTTTTTCTGAAGGACTGCCCCCATGACGGGTGAGCGAGGCTGGGGGAGCGGGAGACAACCAGCAGCCTGATGTTAGCTCAAAGTTTACTACCGTACACGTCAAAGAGAAAGTTAACGCAGAGTACGCGCCCTCTTTCCACTGTTTTGGCAACTGTCATATACGTCCGTTTAACTTCGGGAAATCAGTGTCCCATCAATAATAGGAAACGACAAGGGGAAGATCTAATAAAGGGTGGGGAGTTGCTTCCTTCCAGCCCACACGTAAAATCGCTTAATACGCTTTTTTTTTACACCAAGGTATACCTAGGATTGTTTTCAGTTTTTGTTTAATGTAGGTTCATTAAACAGTTTCCCCAAAATTGCCTGGATTTCCGCTAAGAAACTTAAGCGTCTGCCAACCCGCAAGAAGCAAGCAGTAACCTGCTGCAAAGTAGGAGCGGAAACTCGCATGGCCCGCCCAGCGCGCGGGCGTCCGGACTCTTTCTCTAGGTGTTACAGTTTCCTCGTCGCCTAGACCTTCAGGTGCAGCTACTTGTCCTGCTAAGACACACTTCAGCCTGACAGCGGCGGGCAGTTCTAGAGCCCCCGAGGAGCCTTCGCCTCACACCATCAACAACCCCTCGCGCCGCAGCCATCGCCCGTGTCTCTCACCCCCTTACCTGTCATCGTAGCAGAAATCCGCACTCAGGGTGTTGAGATACAAGGCGAGCCCCAGAGCGCTGCTCACCAACTCTGCAATCATCTCTCCACCGCCTTCCCTCCGGCTTGGCTCCCAGCGCGAGCGCAGCAACGGCAACAAAAAACAGAAGCATCAATCCCCACCTTCCGCCGCCTTCTCCTCCTGGCTGCACTTTTCCCTGGCTTTCCCCGCCCGCCTCCTCGCCCTCCCTCCGCTGCCTCTTCCGATCCCCGACTCGTCTCCGCCGTCTCCTCCGCGCGCTGGGGCTCCGCTGCTCCTGCGTGTTCCCGGGGCTGCTGGCTCACACCGCGTTCCCCATGCCCGACACCCCGAGAGGCCAGCGGCGATCCGGCTTCACGCCCCCCGGCGGAGAACCGGGGCTAGTCCTTTCCCGCGGCTCGCGGTCCCCACCCTAACCCATGGCACTTTGGGACGCTCTAGGTTAAAAGGACTGAGGAGGCAGAAGAGTACGAGGTGGGGTGCGCAGCGGCCGGACCGAGCCGGGACCTGGGACTAGCCGGAGGAAAGGAGAAGGAGACGGAGAGAAAGGGGCGGGTGGGAGGGACGAGGCGAACCGCCTCCCCTCGCCGCCTCCCGGGCGCACGACTCCCGGCTCGTTCGCACCAACTCGGCCGCCACCGCGGCTGCGGCACATTCACTCTTTATTGGTTCCCTCCCGGGCCCCTCTCCAGTGAAGTGAGAAGCGGCGACTGGGGACTCCAAAAGCTCCCGCGTGGGGTTCTCGTCGCGGCCCCACGCGCCTGCGTGGCCAGCCCTCCATCCTAAGCTGGCCCGGCCCCTTTCTCCACCCAGATCCTCCCCGCAGGCTCCTCCTTGTCTACCCCTGCTGGCTGGAGGCTCCGCCCACCCTCCCAGCTGCTCCAGCCTCCCCCTCCAGTCCGACTCCCTCCTTCCCCTTCTTTCACCTTTATTTTCACTCTGGAAAAAGCCCCCCCCCCCTCCCCCAGGATAAGAATGACTTTTGGAAGACTGCCCAAAACGATAGCTAGAGTGCGTCCTGGGCGGGGGTTGATGGAAGAGAAAGGCAACGACAGTAGGAGCCGATGGCTTGTCCAGTGGTGCCTGGAGGCGCCTTGCACCTTCCAGATCTCAAGCCAAAGCATCCGGTGCCAAGGGCTATCAGGCAAAGGTCTGGTCAGATGGAGAGACTTCTGGAGACACAGAGAGATAGGACAGGTTTGGCGAGCGCTGGCAGCCTCCGCTGCCGCTAAGGATCTATCTCCCGCGTGCACGATGCGTGATCTGAATTGGGATGGGAGGGCCTGTTGAAGAGCTGGGAGAGCGTTTAGGAAGAGAGAGTTCTACTCCGAGGCCACGCCGCCACCGTGGACATTGATATCAGTGGAAAGACATGTGTTCCTCAGTAAGATTATGAAAAGGAATCAGAAAATGAAAGCGGAAAGGCCAGAAGGTAAGGAATACACATGCGCTCCTCCGAGATTGCGTGGGGCGGGGTGTGTTTCGTGGTTCAGGACTGTCAGGCTAACTGGGAACATAGAGGAGAGTACGCTAGTGCAACCCCCTACAGCACCATCCTTAAACCCAGCAGAGCGGAAAGCTAATGCCCTTTCCTTTCCGCCCGGATGCAAGACTGGATGGAAGGCATCCAACATGATGAAATACGGTGTAGAAGAATGGTCTGGGCAGAAGGAGCTCCGGGTACTGAAGTTGCAACACCAAAGAGGTCCGAGGGCTGTCTGCCACACCCCCTTCCTGCCTGGTCCGGGTTCTGACTGGGTTGGTGGGTCACGTGGAACACGATGAACACTGCTACAGCGCCCCCTGCTGTGGAGAAGCTAAAGGGCATGGAAAACAAGTCCTTCAGGGATGACTTGTCCCCACTGGAAGAGCAGTACCTATCCAGCAAGCTCTACAAAGAGAAGGAAGATGGATCCCCTGGGTATGTGGCTGCGACCTGAAAAGTTTGAGTGCCTTAGAACAACGATGCCTGACTTTGCAAGGAAATCTTTCAGACACTGACAAATATGTGTTCTATTCTCAACCCACAAATTTCGATTTGATCAAAATATTATATGCATGTAGGAAAATCTTAAATAATATATTAAAGATGGTGGTTCCTCTCTTGCATGTTCCCCTATATGCTGTATTTTTAAAAAGTTTTTAAAGATCGTATCAATTGGTCCATCCGGATGCTCTCTGCCTCTCTCCTGGGCTTGTGTAATGATAATGTATTCCACTGGAGGAGGACTACATACTTGAGTTAGATAACCTAGGTTTGAGTATCAACTCAGCTACACGTTATTTGAGTAAGCTACAGCCAGTCATTTTCTTCACACCTCATTTGTATTTGGTTAGATGAGTTACCATGTAAACCATCTAGAAGGGGACTGGAAAGTGCAGTAAGTTTGCTGTTACGGTTTCCAACACTCTCTTTTTAACTTCTTAACTAAAACCTAGACATTCCCCTTCAAGATACATACCATCACATCCAAGCTGTACCAGTGTCCACCCAAGCTATCACCAAAATGCATGCATCACACCCACAGTGCTCTAATCCTACTCCACGCTATTATCTCATGCACGAACTAATCTAATGGTCGTTGTAAATGGTCTCGATTCTACACCCACAGCTCCTGCTCCAAGCATTTACTTGAGGCACCAGACAAGCAGTTTTAAATTCAGTCATTCCACTTAGGCATGTGTACCTCCTGTTGCACATAGAATGAAACTCTAACTCATTCTGGCTCATTTGGCCCACTCCCCCTTTACAATGTGTTTACCTGTGTACTATACTTACATACATCTTCTCTGGAACTTTCCTTTTTCTTCTTCCTGAAAATGTTCTCTTCTTTCTGAAAATGTTTTCTCCCAAGACATTCTTTGACTTTCTACTAGCAGGTACCTTTCAAATGCTCTTGCTTCAAAAATTCCTTCATATACTTTATAAAGAAGATGCGTGCACACACACACACACTCACATCTTTTTCCCATCACCCTGTAATTTCTTTCTTAATACACATTAGTCATACACTATTTTGTTTGTATTTGCAGGTGGGGATGACACAGGGTTTCTCTGTGTAGCCTGGATGTCCTGGAACTCCCTCTGTAGACCAAGCTGGCTCAAAGTCAGAGATCCACCTGCTTCTACCTCCGGAGTGCTGGGATTAAAGGTGTACCACCACTGCCTGGCAATGAATACACATTAGTTTATTAAGTCACCACTAGAATGGAAGCTTTATGAAGCTAGTAACCTTAGTCACATAGTGCCCAGAGCCGATAGCATCTGAACATGTAAAAGGAACTTTAAAATAAAGTTTTAAAATAAAGGAACTTTAAAATAAAATAAAATAAACAAATTAACAATAAGAGTATTTAAGTGAAATCACGGAAAAATTGAAAATCCACAAATATTCATTGGGAAGAAAAAACTAATTTGTTGTCTGTGTTAAAGACACTAAAGACAACAAAAGCAGGAGGGGAAAAGTAGGTTGATATTTCTTGAGTACATCGCTTCCTCGGGAAGACCCATGGCAGGAAGACAAGGACAGCGCCTTTCCTAAAATTTAATGGCACAAAAATACTAGAGAGCTTGGGGCTCAGAGTGATAAAATATTGTGAGCACTTCTCCCCTCCAAAGCTCTCATAGTTTTAAAAATATAAGTATGTCTTTCTCTATCACCATCCCAATCTCTCTGAATTGAAAGCCTCGGAAACTGGGATATGCCATTAAATGGAACATCTCAAGAGTCTTAATAGTTGGAAAACTGAACTTCCTGCTGTGTTTGAAAAAGATCCAGTTGCTTGTAACAAAAATTCTATTATACTTTATCATAGGTCTCTATATTCAGTGCAATAAACCACGGGCTCTTGTGGGTTGTTCTCCAAGGGTGGAGGAGCAACCAACGCTTGCATTTTCTACCTTCTATCCCTGGAGATCATTTAAGATCTCACAGCTCTTTTTAGTTTATTAAGGTGCATTTATCCAGTGTGAGGGAGACTGCTGCTGCTTCAGTTCTGAATTTATATATCATTTATTTAAAGCTACTTTAGCTCTCCACTGTTGAAGGAAATTAGGCTGGTTAAGCTTTCTACCTTAGACACAAGATTGGCCAAAAAAGTGCTAAGCCCTTATTTTCCTGAGTGGGTCCCACACATCTGCTACCTCACCACTTCCTCAATGAATTCCATTTTATAGTCGACCAGACCTAGCCTACATTTGTTCTGCATTCCTGGTCCTTTGTTGTATAATTCATACCTTTGTGGTGCCAGTTCCTCCGGGTAAAGATTTCCTTATTTGCCTAAGACATTTTTAGTTTATTGTGCAATCCCATCTCCCCTTTGGGTGTTGCATAAATATTAACTAAAATCCACATCTGGTGTTAGTCGTCATTTCTATTTGTCCTAATATAACTTCCCTTTGAACAATTCATTTGGAGAAGTGTGCCAAGGTTAAAACGTGGCACATAAATTCTCTTTGCACTACACAGAATGCTTTGTAAAATGCCCACAGATCTGGTTATTTATGAACAGAAGATTTGCACCTCGTCCTGAGTCTCTCAGTGCCAAACTTGTAGCAGGCTAAAGTAATTACAAACCCCAGTGTGTTTTCTGCAAAGGTACCCAGGAATCTCCTGCTAAAATCATAACAGACAGGTAACAGGTAGCTGAAAAACACTAGGGTGAAACTGCGTGCTCAGGGAGATCAGAACAGAGAGCTCTCTACTGGGGGACTTGCAAGCTCTGGGTTTTGCTCAGGATATATCACCACAGGAGAAGAACGGCAGAGCGCGGATGAAATGTGGGTCAGGGACGAGAAGGAGGCATGCGGGCTGAGTGGTTAACTAATGACATTAAAAGCATTGGCTGCATGGGTTACTGTGCAATGTTTCCCAGCCTACCCCAAAGCACTGTCCTGCAGACGTGACAGCATGCTACCCTCCTTTGTCCTCAGACTTGTGATCCATTAGGACTGTAATCAGGGCAGTGCAACCACAGAAACAGAGCCTGCCTTCTCTGTCACAAAACCAAGGCTGTTAAGAACCAGCTGCTACCAAAATCATAATCACTTTAAGAATTTCACCCTTCTCTCAGACCCCAGTTCAGAGCAAGTGGAGGTGGGGAAGAAGAGGAGGAGGCGAATATAAGTCACATATTAACAACCTGATCAGAAGAAATTACAGAGATGTTTAAGCCACTGATAGAATTCAGGAGCTCATCAAGAAAAGCACAGACAGACAACCTCCTTCATAGAAACTCTCCAAATGGATTCACATGCACTGATATAAACAGTGATAAAATAAAACACAACAACATACTGAAAATTGCTTAGAATCTTGGCTAGAAGTTTCAGTCTTGGTCTCAGTAAATAAAACATAAATGAATGAGAATTTTTAGATTAAAGTTAGTCATGAGTTTTGCCTCTATGTTCAGTCCAGCATGGGCCCTTTTAGGGAACGCTTAAAGACAACTTCGTACAAAGAAGAATTTAGATATTTGTTGTGCAGTATGGTGCCATCAACTATTTGAAGCTATTGAGCAGTTGA